GCAGCAGAGGACGTTGTCGCCCTCTGCTGCCCGCTCTCCCCTCTCCGATGATGCAGTCCCATGCGCGATCCAATGTGTAGACCCCATCGTCTCTGTTCATGGTCTCATATCCACGTCTCCTTATCTCTGTAGCTTCTTTTATCCATCTTTTGTATTTCTGTTGTTCAGTGTTTATGATCCTTGTGTTGTCCCAGTCCATTATATGGTTTTCTCTTGTGCAGTGATCTGTTACGGCTGACTTCTTAATTGTGTTTTCTGCTTCTTCTTTTGCTGCTCTTGTGTGTTTTCGACTTGTTTCTTTCTCGCACTCCTTTCTTTGTTCTATTGTTCGTGTGCTGAGTTGACGTCCAGTTTCTCCTATGTATGTTTTATTGCAGAGTTTGCATGGGATTTTGTAAACGGCTCCACATTTAAGTCCAGCTGATATTTTGTCTTTTGGGTGTACTAGTCTGTTTCTAACTGTTGTGTATGGTTTTGTTGGTGTGTTTATGTTGTGTTTTTTCATAGTTGCTTTTGTTTTTTCTGTTATGCCTCTGATGTATGGTAGGGTTATCACTGGTTTTGGTTCTTGTCTTTCTGGGTTTCTGGTTCTTTGCTTAGGTTGTTCTCCTCTTTCTGTTGTTTTCCTTTGTTTATTGCCCATGTCGGGTATCTGCAGGTCTTTAAAGCGTGTTGTATGTGTTTGTCCTCTTGTTAAGGTCTCCTTCTTCTGTTATCATGTTTGCTCGGTGATACAATGTTCTGATTACTGACATTTTGTGTATGGTGGGGTGTTCTGATGTCCATAGTAGATATTGGTCTGTGTTTGTTGGTTTCCTATATGTGTTTATGTTTAGGGTCCCGTGGGTCTGCCTGGTTATTTTCATGTCCATAAATGCTATACTGCCTTCTGTTTCTGACTCATGTGGACTTTATGTTGCCTGTGTCATCAATGTTATTCAAGTGTTGTGTTTGTGTGTCTGTTTGTCCTTTTGATATGATTTCCAGTATGTCGTCTACATAACGTTTCCATAATTTTATTTGGCAGTTTGGGGGGGCAGTAGCTATGGCTTTTTGTTCTAGGTCTTCCATGAAAAACTTGCACAGGGTGGCTGATAACGGGTTACCCATGGCGAAGCCTTCCAGTTGTTTGTATACTGTGTATGTAAAGTAAGTGGAGTTAGCTACCAGTCCTATCAGTTGTGCTATGCCATCTGCTGTGAGGTTTGTTCTTTTGTGTAAAGTCTTGTCCTGTCTGATTCTGTTAACTACTATATCTATGGTTTTTTGGGTTGGTGTTTTTGTGAACATGTGAGATGAGTATGTCATTATCTTCTACTGTAATCTTTTTAATTATTTTGCCAGTTCTATGCTATTTTTGCAATGTTTATCTGTGTTACCTAATAACGGGCTGATGAATTAGCAGATTTCTTTTGCCATGTTGTATGTTGGTGTACCAATGCTGTCTACTATTGGTCTAAGTGGGGTGTTTTGTTTGTGTATTTTTGGAATTCCATAGATTCTTGGTATTATGTTTGCTGTAGGAATCCAGTGTTGGTACATTTTTTCTGTTATTTTGCCTTTTTTTTTGTAGTGGCTTCAGTAATTTTTTCATGTTTTTCTTAATGCTTTCTGTTGGGTCTTTTTTAAGTATTTTGTATGTATTTTTGTCCTCTAACATCTGTTTCATCTGTTGTTTGTATTTTTCTTTGTCCATTACCACTGTGGTTCTTCCTTTGTCTGCCGGTAGAATAATTATCTGTTCATTTTTGGATAATGCTGTCATGGCTGATAGTTCTTCTTTTGTAATGAATTTTGCTGTTCTTTAATATCCCAACAACGTTATTTCTGAGTTCTGCTTTCTTTCCCTCATCTGTGATCTGTTGACATGCTAGTTCTGTTGCTACAATAAATTCATCATATTGTTTTTTCTTTGGTGTGACTGCAAAGTTTAAACCTTTTTTTAATATGCTTTCTTCTGCTTTTGTTAGTTCATATTGTGAAAGGTTACATACCCATGAGCTTTGTGTGGTGTTATCTTGTATTTCTTTTCTCTTTTTCTTGTTGATGAGTTTGTTTAACTTCATGTGTCTTTCTTTTACTTTCATGAACTCTTTTTCCTGTTGTTCCATCATGTGTCCTTTAACTTGTTTTCATCTAGTATGTAATTCCTTTTTAAGTCCAGGTGTCTTCTTTCCAGTTCGTTTTCCACTTGCTTCTGTTTGGTTGCGACGTTTCTTATCCTTTCTTTGAGTAGTGCTTTCTGTGTTCTTTCCATTATGTTCTGTGCTGACCTGGTCTGGATCGGTGTTTTCAGCTGTAGGCTTGTTGGCGTGATGTTTTCGTCCGGGCATCTTAAATTGAAGTGAAGGTGGTTCCTTAGACGTGCGTGTTTTTGATGTAAACGTTCCAAACGGCGGAAGTCCTTTGCTCCTTGTTGTCCGTATTTTTCTTTAACCCTTACCCAACGTTTAAATTTTCTAACGTTAAAGTCATTAGAGCACAAAAAAATGCTCTAATGTGAGGTAAGGGTTAAACTTCTTTGGTATGTTCTTACTGTGTCTAGTTTCTAATTCCATTTTGGTTCTTTTTTTTAAACACAGGAAAGGTTTCTCTTTACCTTGCTAACAGTTTCGTTTGCCGACTGCAAAACATCCTCAGAGCTGACGCTGATGGTGGCGTCACTTCCTACTCCGTTTATCCGCGGGCAGCAGAGGACGTTGTCGCCCTCTGCTGCCTGCTCTCTTCTTTACTTCCTTTCTTTTGTCGTTCTTCTCCACCCTCAACACCTGTGTGTCCCTCTACGGCAAGCCTGACAGAAAATTGACATAACAACACAACAGTCTCTGGGTCTTACCCCCCAAAACATTTTCCATTGTCTTTCCTTTCTGCTTCCTTTTGATGTTTACGTAGAAAAATGATGTCACTTTTTGAAGTGAAGATAAAAGCTCTTTTAAAGCACGCTGCTTCTTTCTCTTATTGGAGCCACTAGGATAACTCCACTTCACTTATAAGTCGCTTTGGACAAAAAGTGTCTGCTAAATACATAAACATAAACATAACATACTGTAAATCCTCTAATATTGGCCTGTATTCAATTAACGGCCGGGTATCATATGTTGGCCGGTGTCGGAGTCGGCAGAGGTAAATAATGGCCGGTATTTTATTGTGGCCGGGTGGAATGTGGTAACAAGCAAGTACCACAGGGGGGGCGGTTGTGTCATCCGTCTCACTTTTGATTTGCCAGTGATAGACCGCGATTTGGCAGGTGCGGAGACGAAGAGGTGGCGAAAATTTGATATCAAGTTCAAAGAGGACGTGCTGATTATGCTGCAGAACACCGGGGAGCAATAGGGGTTGTATGAACTAGTCGACTTCACTATAGTGACTTTTATGCCTGTCATCGACTAGTCGCTGTCACGTGATAATGGCCGGCAAGATGCAGCCCTCGGAAAAGACAGCAGCCTGCTGTCAGCAGGTGAGAAGCTCCTGCGTTCGGGGGGGGCAACGCGCTGTGCCAGAGCGTCGGTACTGACACGCGATCGTTCATGTCGGCTCATTTCCTTCAACGTTTTCTGTCTTTTATTTGCGCCTGATGCGTTTTGCTGCTGTGGAGCGGGGCGCATCACCTTGTCATCTGGTGACGCGCCAATCACTGATGCGGCCGCCAAGCAGCGAGCACTCCGCTGTTTTTGCGGTCGGTAGATCTGCGTCCTGAGCATAGCCACAGAAACATTATCATATCAGGTGTTGCCACCTCAAAAACAAATTTAACACGCGATCGTTCATGTCGGCTCATTTCCTTTAATGTTTTCTGTCTTTTATTTGCGCCTGATGCGTTTCGCTGCTGTGGAGCGGGGCGCATCACCTTGTCCTCGGTGACGCACCGATCACTGATGCGGCCGCCAAGCAGCGAGCACCCCGCTGTTTTTGCGGTCGGTAGATCTTCTAGAACTGCAGTTCAAAGGTAACTCATAAAGTGAATATATATGAACCCAGGTAGCAGTTTCTCTTTAGGATTGAGAGGAGATGCAGGAAGATAATAAACAGGCAGGACAGAAAAATTGTCAAGTTAGTTTTTGTACCTGGTGGTTGCAACAAACAGACACCATTGAAGGTAATCAGAAGTGAGGAACAGACAATGAAATAATTATTTTAATGTTTAGAGAGGCAGGAACTCCGAGAGGCTGCAGGCGCATCAGTGAGTTTGCGGCTGCTGCGCAGGGGGAGGGGGGAGAGGGCTGAAGCAGAAACTACCGTTGTTAAAAGAAATGTGTTTAACTTTGAAAATGTGGGCGCAATTTTAATTGTCAAAAACTCCAGCGAACCATTAGTTCATTTTGCTCGAATCGAAATAGAGGCCTGCCTCTTCTGGTCCTCCTTCCAATAAAGGCCTGGAGCTTGATGAGCTTGAGTCAAATACAGGCCCGGGCCTGTATTAGAGGATTTACGGTAAACATTTCATGCTTAATGTTTGGACTACCGCTTCGAGTTTGTTACGAACGCTCCCGCCTCTCTTCTTATTCTACTGCTTTTTTTTCTTGTTTGTGGTCTTATGGCACTTGGCAAACAACAATTTGGTGCATTACTGCCACCAACTGGATTGGAGTGGAATGACTACCAACTACTTCCTGTTTGTGCATTGGCATCTTAAAGGAATAGTCCATTATGGCATTGACAGAGGGGTGCGGTCAGGGCTAGGGGGCCCCCCAACATAAGGGGGCCCCAGGCGGCCACCCACCTATTCCTAATGGTAATTGGGTCATACGGTGTACATGACTCGGAAGCTTTGCTCTGCAAGGAAGTCGAACAGTTTGAGAAAAATATGTAACATGAGTGAAGTTGACCTTTAAATGAACATGGATTGTCCATCATTATGAATGTCATAATACTTCACGAAAGTGGCAAATTTATCTATGAGTCTTTGTGACAGCTTTTGGACCATTCTTGTGTTTTGCTTTCTTTTAACATCTTTATAAAAACAAAGTATTTTTGTGACATTTCTTCTCTCGTTCTCACAGTCCTCACATGGTGACAGAGTACATGGGCATCAGGAACGAGAGTTTTATGAAGATTGCTGCAGTGGGGACATGGATGGGAGATTTTGTGACTGCTTGGATGGTGAGATTGGAGTCATTTAATGTTTTTGAAAGAGAAAAATCCTAAAATTTTAAAAGTTCATTTATAAGCTTAAAAATAAAAGAAAATTACCATTTTTGTAACCTAGATATCTGGAAAAAAATGTTATCCAGTCTTAAGTAATGAGACTGGATCAACGGGCATAAATAAAAGTCTTTATTTGTTTGTGCTTGTAAGTGAGAGTGGCTGTTTAGTTGCATATTTAGTTTTGTCACCTTTAAAAAAAATGCTGGAGGATTCCAGCATCCATAGATAAAAATAAATTGTGTGTAAAAAATATTTATACTTGTAGAAATAACCGGTTAAAAAACCTCTCCAACAGCCTGTTATCTGATTGGATAGCTAGATTTGTGATTGACAAGACACTGACCAATCAGGTGAGAGGAAATATGTATTTTTATAGTACATAACTAACCTTAATATACAACAACACAGTCTGACTTACACCAAAAAAAATTAAACATTTTAATTTTTGTCCATACGGGTCAGAACAAAATTGCACTGTATATTAACCCTCTCAGGCTCAAAATAAGTTCTGATGAAAAGACGAACAACTAAGTCCTTCAGGGGTACTTCTGAGTTAAAGAATCCTCATGAAATATGTATGTGGAGTAACCAGGTAGGTAGGTTTTAACTGTTACAAATCTGCAATGTCTGCCTCCAGAGGGTTAAAAATAGAGACAGGAAGTCAGGGCCTTACATGGACAAGCACCATCTTACATAGGTGATCTTAGTCCCTACACCCCCAGCAGGTCCCTGAGGTCCAGTGATCAAAGCCTACTGGTTGTGCAGCACCAGGCTAAAGACCAAAGGTGACAGATCATTTGCTGCTGTGGCCCCCAGACTCTGGAACTCTCTCCCCCTGAGCCTGAGATCAGTGGACTCAGTGGTCTCCTTCAAAAAGCAGCTGAAGACTCACTTGTTCAAGCTGGCTTTTGTATGACCTTCTTCAACCCCTCTCTCTCTATTCTGCTCTCCCAACCTATTCCTCCTTCCTCAGGATCCACTGATTTCCCTCTTTCCTATTCACTCTCTCTCTTTTTTAACATTTTTTCTTTTAAATCCCAATTGCCTATTTTTGCTCATTTTAAATATATTTTTAAACATTTTCTAAATGCTTTTTTATATATTTACATTTTTTGTTTTTGTGAAGCGCCTCGTGATTTTTATCTTGAGAGGTGTTATAGAAATGATTTCTTCTTCTTCTTCTTCTTCTTCTTCTTCTTCTTCTTCAGCTCATTGGTCTCTGCAACAAAGAAAAAATGAATTCATGTGAACGAATCTCTAAAAGTTATTTTCTGGTCCGCTTTGCCTGACTCCCTTAATCACACATATTTGTATTTCAATTGAAATGAGAAATAATGATGTGAGTTTTGTCTATGTCTGTCGCACAATTTGAGATTTATTTACTTGTAAACATTTGTAATTAAAATGACTACAAATCACACCTCAGAATCTGAATCTCTTCTCCCCCGGCTGCTACTTACTACATGGCCAAATTTATAGTGGGCTTTCTCCGTGTTTAGTTCTCCTTCTGTTATCCTGGAAGATGGAAGCAAAGCTCGCTAAACTCACAGGAGTTTTTCTTCTTCTCTTGCATGTCTGGTTTGATGACGTCAATTTGGTGAGACAAACATTTGTAACCTTTGCCGCCTGTCTAAAATAAGCACTTCCTTGGCATCAAAATGTGACCCTATACGAGTCAACAGACATATCATTAGCTGCTTAATGCTAACAAATGCAAAGGTATGGCGTTTAAAGCGTGCCACAACCCGTGCACGCGCATTGGGTCCACAGCGCGCGTGTGAACGGGACTCGCGAGCGAAAATATACATGGCAGCGCGCTCGTGAATGGGACTCGCGAGCGAAAATATACATGGCGAGAGGTCATTTGTGCACTGAGAGGGAGCAAACTGTGTCTGTGAGCGCACAAGGATGTGCACAAGTGACAAACCTGCGTGCGCGCGTTGCCAACGAGCACACGGCAGAGGAAAACGTGCGCGCGCGGCAGCCTCTCTGCGCGCTCGGCAGCCTCTGCGCGCTCAGTTTCTAATTCCGCTCGCTCGGCTGTGAGGAGTTTTGGCACTCTGGAGGCGTGGCCTGTGGCAGATCTTCCCTGTCTTCTGATTGGTTAGTTTACCCTGCACTTTACTCTCTACCTATCTATATAAAAACATCTGAGATTCAGCAGTTGCTGTCATAGCTCAGCTGGGAGAGCGGATGACTCTCACTCTTGAGGATCCGGGTTTGAGTCCGGCCAAGGAACATAGAGTTCATGTCATAATCTTCTTTCCTAATTCCTGTGATATTATTTTACAGTTGTGACCGTTCAACTGTCATTAAACGTCCGAATGTTTGCTGGGCAGTGTTTTAAAAAGTGCACATAAGCTAGATGGTTTTAACCAGGTAAAAATAGACTTGTGGGTGTAGGTATGTTCAAGTTTAAAAAGTTCTTGCCTCATTAATGTATTGTTTATTTTTTTCAGCATTTAATTGACAAATTATCCTTTCAAATATTTAATTGATAAGTTACATAATTGTCCATTTAGAATTGTTGAATGGACTGAGTCAAGTTTGGTGCACTTTATATATTTCAAAACATGTTTTTTTTTAATTATGCATATAAATAATTTTAATGTTAATTTATTGAAATATTTCTATTTTTTCATTACCTCACCCTTGTTTTGACAAAAACAAGAACTTGCTGGATAAATATCACGGAGAAACTATTTGTTCACAGTACATGGCTCAGTGAGGATCTGTGTACCAAAGGAGGAGATACTCAGAAATCTGTCTGCAGATTGTTACAACCCAGACTGGAAGTGGTGGGCTGTAATAAGAAAGGAGACCAAACAGAGGAGTGGGGGGTTCAACAACTGATTTATTTAACCAAAGTAAGGATTTACTAAACTTTGGTTAAATAAATCAGTTGTTGAACCCCCCACTCCTCTGTTTGGTCTCCTTTCTTATTACAGCCCACCACTTCCAGTCTGGGTTGTAACAATCTGCAGACAGATTTCTGAGTATCTCCTCCTTTGGTACACAGATCCTCACTGAGCCAAGTACTGTGAACAAATAGTTTCTCCGTGATATTATCCAGCAAGGTCTTGTTTTTGTCAAAACAAGGGTGAGGTAATGAAAAAATAGAAATATTTCAATAAATTAACATTAAAATTATTTATATGCATAATTTAAAAAAACATGTTTTGAAATATATAAAGTGCACCAAACTTGACTCAGTCCATTCAACAATTCTAAATGGACAATTATGTAACTCATCAATTAATTATTTGAAAGGATAATTTGTCAATTAAATGCTGAAAAAAATAAACAATACATTAATGAGGCAAGAACTTTTTAAACTTGAACATACCTACACCCACAAGTCTATTTTTACCTGGTTAAAACCATCTAGCTTATGTGCACTTTTTAAAACACTGCCCAGCAAACATTCGGACGTTTAATGACAGTTGAACGGTCACAACTGTAAAATAATATCACAGGAATTAGGAAAGAAAATTATGACATCAACTCTATGTTCCTTGGCCAGACTCGAACTCGTATCCTCCAGATTGAGAGTCACCCGCTCTCTCAGCTGAGCTATGACAGCAACTGCTGAATCTCAGATGTTTTTATATAGATAGGTAGAGAGTAAAGTGCAGGGTAAACTAACCAATCAGAGGACAGGGAAGATCTGCCACAGGCCACGCCTCCAGAGTGCCAAAACTCCTCACAGCCGAGCAAGCGGAATTAGAAACCGAGTGCGCAGAGGCTGCCGAGCGCGCAGAGAGGCTGCCGCGCGCGCACGTTTTCCTCTGCCGTGTGCTCGTTGGCAACGCGCGCACGCAGGTTTGTCACTTGTGCACATCCTTGTGCGCTCACAGACACAGTTTGCTCCCTCTCAGTGCACAAATGACCTCTCGCCATGTATATTTTCGCTCGCGAGTCCCGTTCACGCGCGCGCTGCCATGTATATTTTCGCTGGCGAGTCCCGTTCACACGCGCGCTGTGGACCCAATGCGCGTGCACGGGTTGTGGCACGGGTCTGACGCGATACAAAGGGCTGGGCAATAAACTGAAAATGTATTGTTATTGAAATTTCTGACTCTTATCAAGATCATTTTTCCCATTTCAATAAATTAGGTAATAAAAAAATGAAGGTTTTGTGTAGGTTGGCAACATTCATGTCCCTTTAAGAAGCTGTACCTAGCTGTCACGGTGTAGGAGGTGGAGACGGCGGACCATGTGTGGTTGAGCTGAGCAGGAGGTAAAAATGCAGGCTTCAGTAAAAGTAAAAATGGTTTAATGGCAGGATGGGATGAACAGGAACACCAGCAGACAACAACAATGAACTGACAAAGGACAGGGGCAAAACAGGTGCTTTAAATACAGAGGGCTAATTAGGGAAACATGGGCAGGTAAACGAGGGACAGGTGAGAACAATAAGGGCAATCACGGCAGGAGAGGAACACAGTCAGGTTGGGCAGGGGCAGATCGTGACACTAGCCTGGCAAGGCAGAATAAATAAATGTATTATTTAGTCTGGCAACGCTCCATTGACGGCTCTCGGTTGTGGGGCGGGTTCTACCGTTGTCTTTCAAATGATCTCCGCATTCCACTGGACAATGAATGTGACATACTCTTGTTTCACTCTGTTCCATCATCCCACCCACCAGGCATATAGAGTGCCCTGATTGGCCCACAAAGCGGATAAAGCTCTGTGATTTGTTCACTAAGCAGATAGAGCACTATGATTGGCCCACCATTATGGACCAATCACAGCTCTTTATGTATTTGAAACCCCTCTAGAGAGCTGTGATTGGCCAGCCAGAGTCCTGGTAGGGGCTTCAGAGGTTCCAATGGAGCGTGCCTAGACCAAACTTTGCAAAACAAGAATTTGGTCTAGTTCGCTAGGCTAAGCTGTACCACCTTGAGTCACGTAAAAATGTGACTCAACGTAATACATGTCACAGCCCCATCTAGTGGACAACTTTTGTTTCTTCGCATACCTGTAGTTATTGTCCATTTATCGTTATCAAGGTGAAACCCTCAATATATCGTGATATTGATTTTAGGCCATATCGCCCAGTCCTAGATGCTACTAAAGGTAACATTTTGCCCCAATCAACATAAATTTGGTTTAAATCCCTAATTAACAGTAAAGTCATGTCAGCAGACAAAACTATACAACTATAAATCTGCAAATCACCAAAACTCATTTAACTACACTTGACACAAGGTAGAAAGAGGTAGAAAGGCTGAGCCAAAAGACTGAGTTCTTAACCCACTGGTCTGTTTATATTCCAACCCTCACTTTTGGACATGATGTTGAGATCCCAGATTCAAGTTTCATCCAGGACAGAGATCTGAGTAGAGCTGCTGCTTTTCCTCATGGAAAGGAGTCAGCTGAGGTGGTTTATGCATCTAATTAAGACGCCTCCTGCTCCCTTCTCTCTGGAAGTTGTTCTGGGCTTGTCCTACTGAGAAGGAAGCAGACCCAGAAATGCCTGTACATATATGCTTCCTGTTCTGGGAATGCCTTGGGATCGATTAGGAGGAGCTGGAGAGTGCACTTGAGGACAGTCGTGTCTGGGAAATAATGTTTCTGCGGTCACGATAAACATTTGTTTCCCTCACTCACAAATCCTGCAGCATTTTGTTCACTTTCATCTAAACAGTCTCGAAATTTAGCAAGTAAATCTGATTAGCCACATTTATTACTGGATCTAGTTTTTGCTTATTTATTGCCATATTTTGCCAAATTCCTATTGCACACGATTTTACTATGATGACAATATCTTTTAACGTACTGTACCTCCCCAAATGAAATTATTTCATTATCATCATTCATCAAATTAGTTAAATTGTTATTCCTAAATTCACCAGAAAGGTCAGGTGTTTCCTCTCAACCATCACAAGGCACATTTCCGCAGTCCACATTAATTCAGTTCAATTCACAAATCCCTGTAGTAACACAACTAGTGCTCTGAGGTAGGTCAGAGGAAACAATAGATGCACAAGGAGGGCATCGAAGGAGGAACGTACCTCTGTTCATTATTCAACAAGAAGGAGGAGGAGGAGGATTGCTCCAGAGGGAGTGGACTTCCTCTAGAAGGAGGAGTGGGGCTCTGAGACCTCCACGCACACAGCTGAAACAAGCTGACAAGCTGCCTCGCCCGTCACATTAGCATTTTACAGTACATACTGCCGAGGAGGAGAAGGGCTGGAAGGAGACGGAGAAGGTGTAGGAGTAAGAAGCAGGACATAGAGGTGAAGGGGAAATGCAGACAAGCGTTCCGAGAGGAGACACTGAAAAGTGTGTGCTAGAGAATTTTATGCCAGGAAAAATGTATCATCCCAAAAATAATTCCCAATGTTCTTTTTTTTTTGACATTTGAAATTCTACAAAGTACTTTTGGGATGACCTCCTTGTCTCCTCCATGTTGCATCTTCACTGGACAAGAGCAGAGGGATTTTTCATTTTCAACTTGGCGTATGTGCAATAGACCTGTTCACATGCTAAAGAGCTCCAGAAGAAGTACGCTGTATAAATAGCTTTAAATAGACTATTTAACATGTACAAAATCAGATATAAATAACATTACAGTGGACTGGTGAACACCAAAGGCTCACATGATGGCGACTTACTGAGGCGTATCTTTAAAAGTTTATTCCTTTCATTTTGAGTTCTTGCAAATAAGAAGCAATAAATCTGATGGTGTTGTCACTGGAGTAAATACATGAAGCTACATCATGCGGCTTTCACAAAGCACAAGACAGGAAGATCCAGTAAAAAATGGAATATTGGAATTCTTCTGAAGCATTTGCACTATGGAACGGCATTTAAAAAGGGAATTTAGGAGCAACTGGTGTTGTACATGAATATTCCATCGGTTTATCCAAGTACTCAGTAACTCTGTGGTTGATTCTAAAGAAAATTCAAAACTTCCAATAGTGCCAACCCCAATAACTATCTCAGTCTGGTCTCTGAAAGAAGTCTGTGTTAGTAGTTAGAGTACATTTCACTGATAAAAGAGGCAAAAGCTGCAATATTTCACTGCTCCTTTCACAACTGCTACAGCTATTGATCTGGATGAGAGAGGCGAGGGTATGAATAATAAATAGTGATGAACATTTGGTCAGCCTGTTTATTATTTATCCAGGATCATTGTCCTTTTTCAGAAACTTTGCAGTTTCAGTTTCAGTTGCCCCAAATGTTTTAAAATGCACGAACTTAAAGACATTTACTTTGACAAACGATCTTTAATAGTTCTAGAACCTGTGAAACAGAACCTTGTCATTTGCACACTTTGTTCTTTTTAAACAGAGAGATACCATCTGTGAATTGAAACGCTTGTCAGGCATCGAAAACTTCTCTTTTAACTTTGCTCAGAGCCTTTATGTCTTGGAATGATGCATAAAATATAACTTCCTGTCATAATTGTGTATTTTTCGAAAGGTGACAGACATGATGCTCCAGGATCAGCACTACCCAGACTGGGGAAAAGCTGCAAGAAGGTTCTGGAAGCAAGGCAACAACAGGATAGTCCTCTTCTGGTGTGTCCTCCTCTGTGGCTACATGGTTTTAGGGCTGTTATTATGTTTTTCTGTGCTTGCTAAATGCTTTATAGATAGCTCTGTTCCTCTGCAGAGTTGTGTGCGTCTCACCAGCCTCATTGCAGGGTTGCATGCAGTCAATAACTGTGTTAATCTGCCTTCAGTCAGTGTCAGCACCTTTAATTAGAGGAACAGGGTGAAAATCGATGGACACAGCAAGGTTGCAGGTTGCGCCACAACCCTGCGTCGTACAGATTCATACCACAAGATGTGACCCTGAAATAAGTGGCAAACGAATGCTGCAAACCATGTCTGATATGTCCGTTATTCCTCAGATTAGTGGATCCAATCCCCTGTTTTTCTGCGTGTTTAACCACTGTTGCTCTGTCCCAGTGGAGACTAATCAGCGATCTATCTTGTCCATCGAATGGAACAAGTGGACGTGTTTTCCTGTGGTTCATTTTCAGGTCACCATGTCTGACGTGTTTGATGCATGCACTCAGAGCTGAAGGCATCAACATGTCAAACTTCAGAGGGTTTGACCTCAAATCTTCAACACTTTCTGGCTCAGAATTGATTCACTTGCAATTAGGATGCAAGCAAACGAATCGCTCTGTGACTTTTCTACTACCCTTCATTTCATCGACGGATGTCCTGGCTCGTGCTGTCATAATCGATGCCAGATTTGACAAGCTATCATTTGGAATTCAGAGCTTGAAATGTGATTGATAAACCCACGACTGGATGCGTCTTGTTGATGCAGCGGCTGTATCAGATTGTAAACTATGGCGCCTAAAAGAGGTTTGCAGATAAAAAGCTAAAATGTATCCCAAACCGTTACACTGGAGTGAGAACAGCAGCACATGAATCGCTGGGTGACATTGAGAATAAACAATAGAGGAGAATAAAAAGTCCCTTCATTTGGTGAACAAGGTTTTCTACAAAATGGTGAATGCAATGAAGCAGTTTGACTGGAACAGGGAAAACACAGCAATCACGGTCAAAGTTTGGGTTAAATATGGAAATGTATGGAAATGTGTGTGGATTTAAGATCAGCTTACATTCTTTCTGCATGTACAGACAGACAGACGGGGTTCTCTTTATGCACATTCACCCTTCTAAAAGCTTTAGATGGTTCGAAAAGTGTTGTTGGTTTAATTCTTAAGACCAGTTTTCTTCCAAGTAGCTTATCGTTCCCTTTTCATCCTGTCCTTTAATTCATCTACTTTTTTGTCTCTCATCTTCTCAGGACGGTGCTTTTCTCTCTGACCTCCGTGGTGGTTCTGGTCATCAGCACCGACTGGATCAGCTGGGACAACCTGAACCGGGGCTTCTTGCCCAGCGACGAGGTCTCCAGAGCATTCCTAGCCTCCTTCATCTTGGTCTTCGACCTTCTCATTGTCATGCAGGTAGAAAACTCCCCAGTGGCCAATTAAAAAATACAATAAAATAGGGGGAGCTGGGACATCTTTTGGCTCAGTCCGCCACCCATCTCGCCAGTTCCCCCTTTTCCCTTTTCATCAATGAGGGACTGTGGCACAAAGCAGCTAAAAGGGTGTTTGATCGTTCAGAGGAGGCTTGGACTCGAACTCACACTATTTCTTTCCTCGTCTCTCTTTGGTCTTTTCTCCACACCTGAGCTCCAAAGTGTTCTCTCTTGCACGCTGACTTTAATTCCCATAAAAGATAAAACCTCACAAGATTGGGTTCTTTCCTTCCATTTCCTCGTTTTCTCTCCTGTCAGCATCCTCCCTCCCACGGGACCGTGTACATCAATAAAGCTTCGGCCACTGACTCATGAATATGTAAATGTATCCGACTGGGCAAAAAGAAAAAAAAACTGTATTGAAGAGGAAACGTGGGAAAATGCTTCAAAAGCTGCGAGTCAGAACCTCAGGCCAGTTATGTCCGACAGAACTTCCAATGAAACTATTTTATTTAGTTATCACTTAAATGCGTGTTCCTGTTTCGTTTATTATGTTAATTGAAATGAGCAAGCAGCTTCGAGGGAGAATATCTTTGAGTGGTATAAATACACCACTCTACAGAAATCTGGCAAGGTCACTGGTATAATTCCTACATTAAAATGGATTAGAGCAACAATACCAGGAAGAAGGATTTCCAGGTGGTATTTATTGAAACAATTTATTATTCTAAGAGGGGCCTCTGGCTGTGCTGGCCACTAATTACCTCACACTTTGGTCTTTCCACATTCATTTACCAAATTATTGTGATTATGCAGATTTAATGAAACAGCTCAACTTGCATGGTTCAAGCATACCCTCACAGAGGTGCAGGGAAACCAGTGATTTGGACCTTTATATCACCCTCTACTCGCAGTGATTTGTTTACAACATCCTCCCCTCTCTCCTCGTTTCCTCTACTGTGTGGAGCAAGTACATTTACTATGGTAGTTTACGAGGTGAGCTAGTTAGCACCCCTTACGGAGCCAGCGGCCATCACTACTCTTCACCTGTCAATAAAAATTCATCCACCCCAGCTCTCTGAAGAGCTTCAATCACCTGCGGCTTGGAGCACTGCCAAAGCCTCTCTCACATATCCATGAGAAAAATGAGTGAAAGTGTTCTCAAGCCAATTAATACTCTAATTAATGACTTGTCTGGATTTGCCTCCGAGCGGGGTTTTACTCTTTTAAATGAATGATTGGTTGTTTCTTAGCATTTGTTCTCAGCTGCATTTCAGATTCCTTTGCACAACAACATGAACAGATTTGCATAAAACATGTTATTCCTTTTGTATTTATCATTAATTCTCGTTATTTTGCTAGAGAAAGAATGAAATGCCGTGGCTGCTGGTGTTAAAGGAACACATACCACAACTATGGAAAAAGAGGATTTATTTCATGTCCAAGGGGCAATCATCAAGTTGTTCTGCAGGTCAGATAGTGGCAGCGAACATCCAGGATCTTGGGAGCATGGAGGAGACTAAGACACATGGTCATTCTTTTGCAGGAAGGTGCTTTTGAGAGTTGTTTGAGCTGTAGTTTCACATTCAACTCACAAATTGATGCCAACAGATAAAGACAAAGACAATGTCAGTGGCTAAAGCTTGGTTTATGCTTGACGCATTCACTTTCCGCTTGGTGACGCGGCTTGCTGATGGAACGTGCTTCACAACTCGCAGCGTTTATGGTTCATGCGGCTCGTCCCTGCAGTGAGCCAATATTCTCCCAAACTGAACGGGGCAGCATGGAGCTCTACGGCATGCATCCAACACTAAACCGTAGTAGAAGTAGAAATTACTGTTTACAACATGGCATTCCAGCATTTTTAACAGCATCCTCGTCTTTTCCGACAGTGCGAGCTATTTCTCTCCAAGAATTATTAACAACATGTTGATCACGGTGATCTCTGAGAGGTGAATCATACAAATGTCTGTATTTACGAACCTCTGCCATACTAGTTCTTGCCGGTCTGCTATGTTTTTCCACGTCCGACCATCCGCGTGGTTAGAAATTTTCCTAGGTGCGCGTTGCGGAAATTTTGGGCCGTGCGGAGACGCGATGGAGGGGCGTGGTTGTTAAAATGACGCAATTTCGCCGCGCGGACCTCGCGGACGCGTCAAGCATAAACCAACCTTAAAGCAGACTGCAATCGTCACATGTTCTGTTTGGTGCAGTAGTCACCTGATAGAGTCAAACTATGAATCTTTTCTTTATTGGCTGAAGTTAGTCTCTCGAGGAAATGTTTTAGGGTTAGGGTTACATATTTTTTACATCCATGACAGAAGTTATGTCATCGAATTTGGACTCAGCACATAAAAATTGAAATATTGTGTTTCACCTGCAGAGTTTCTCAGCCTTTTGTACGACAAGTCTTCAAAAGTTTAAATCCATGTGTAGAGAAGCTGAGAGCCGACCTTTACCTGCAGGAGATGTTCCAAGTGAAACTAATTATTAGCTGCTTTAGCAGCATTTTAATCAAGTAGATGCATTGTTTTCTCCTTTGCTGCAACGCAGCGAGTCCAACTGTGAAAGATGAATAATAATGATTATGACAGATATTGATCAGATTATAAAATGAGTCCTTTTTGCAAAAATGTATATTGGAGTGAGCTTGATTTGTTTATTTTAGTGACTCTTAAAATGAATTAAAAAAACTTTTAAAAACCATTTGGGATTAAATGAAGTTTTCTTCACTTCCATCAGTCCAGTTAATTTTTTTAAAGACAAATACATGAAAACACGTAAAACAAAATAATAAAACGTACATACATAATTGCGTTTCAATATTGTGGAAACACGTGTGGTGGATTAGTTTCTACTGCAGGTGTTTGATTCCAACATTTTTGTTGTAAAAACCCTAAAGTCGAGGGTTGTTTTCTTACAAAGTGAACAAAATTATGGTTTAAACCCATAAATTAAATTTTGTGTTCATTAAAGAGGGAAATCAATAAAAGGATCATTCGTGGGCTGTACACATGTTTTAAAACATTCCTAAATATTTTCCCCTCTTTCTTAGATCATGTTGTCCTTTCTTGGTATCTAAAGCGACAGCTTTTCTTTGAGTCACCAGCCACCTGACAGAACTTCAGACAAGGAAGAGGGTAAAAAAACAGAACGCTAAGTAACACCAGAGGGCAAAGGCAGCCTCTAAATGTCAGTTTGGTCTGCCTGTTGATGTATTTTGACGTGTTAAGTCCCAGTGCACACGGGTACACTCCACCACCCTGTAAACACACTGTGTGATTGGCGCTCCACAGCCTCCGACATCATGTTTGACCTCCTGTCGGCATGTGAACAGACTCCACGGAGACTTAACATCAGCTAATATGAGAGATTTCAGTCAAGTTCACTGTGTCCAATAAAATGATGAGACGTGGTTGACATTTTTAGATTTGAATGTTGAATTTATATGATTTTTCTTTTGGTTAGGATTGGGAGTTCCCTCACTTCATGGGTGACCTGGATATGAATCTTCCTGGAATGTCAACAACACACGTGAAGGTCAAGCTACCTGTCTGCAAGCGTATCTTTAAAGAGGAGTACCACATCCACATCACAGGTACACTACTCAAGACGCCGGCTGCAGATAAAAAACAAGGTTATATCAATCATTGTTTTACGGGGAGCACCTCGATCATTTCTAGACGGCCGTCCACACCGATGGTCATAAATTTGATCAAAGAGCAGAGAAAATCAAAACGTCCATTAGGGAGACAACTTGTCCTATTTTTTAAATGAATTGTGAATACACAGAATGCTCTAGTTTAGTTTTTTCTCCTTGTTTTGGGAAAGTTTGTTGGTTAGAACCGCAGCAGCCATTTATAATGCATGTGAAGCAGATGTGTCACGCAGGTGCTGCCAAGGCTTCTTTCTTGTGTTCTTCCCTGTTGTGCTTCTCATCACTTCTCACATCTTCGTGTCCTAATGTTCCCTACAAATGAGAACATTCCCTCTTTAAATCTGTCCTCCCGGTTTCTCCATTTTGTTCTGCCACGTGCTCACAGGCACTTAGAGCCATCAAGAGAAGGAAAACCAATGTTCCTGATCTAAATGTTGAGCTGTTCAAACGCTCAGTGATTTTGCAAGAGGTTGTTAACCCAAATGCGTTGCATATCCATTAAGCATGATGGAAATGGCTACAGTCCAACGTGATTGGTTTAAGTAAAAGCTTATTAGCATAATACCTTGGGGAGAGGAAGGGAGTGGTGTTATGTTTTACCTGGGGAGACGTGCCTGCCATCAGTCAACCTATGGAGATGGTTGTCCCATGGCAATAGAGTGGTCTTGTTAGATTCTGTAGAGGAAGAATCAGTTGTAAATGAAGCTCTCTTTACCAGTTCATGAGGCGTATGCCAAGCAAGAAAGGTTACTGTTACAAGAAAGTGACAACATCTTTGTCTTAGACTTTCAGTATTAATTATCTTTCTGCATTTTTATGTACCCCTTCACACTAGTTTAAGACACTGCTGTGCTCTTTAACAATCTATAAAACCATTTATAATGAGGCATACGTTTACACATAAGTGCCACATCAAATGGTGAATGGGCTGTATTTGTATAGCGCCTTTTAGGGTTCCTCAACCCCTCAACGTACTATAAGTAAAAGGCCCGCTCGGACGATCCGGTGAAGTGGAGATACACACATGCCAGGAAGTTCTGGTAAAAGTACCTCGAAGTTCCAATGATGGAAACATGCCTTATGCGTCAGCAGATCATTCATGCAATAATCGTTCCACTTAGAGTTATGTTTCCTCCACGCCTCAGGCTCCACCCGGTGTAACTCTTCTGAACAACCATGCAGTCAGACCCTGTGCCACGTAACCGCTGCCACTACTCCCCCATGCACAACCTAGGATGCAAATGTATTGCCACAATTGCGATGTTGCTATGGAAGACTCAAAGCCATTGTCAACCTTGGGGGGTTGTAGAACACAGGAAGGCTCCATATCAAATACAGGCTTTTTACCAACCTATCACATTCTGTTACGTGTAACATGACGTTAAGACTTTACACATCATAGTTCTTACATCATAGTAGGATCTTCATCCTTTGCGAATGGTTCCTGTAGAACCTGTTCCTGTTTGAATCCTAACAAATGTCATGTTTCTCATTGTAGGTAAGTGGTTTAATTACGGGATCATCTTTCTTGTGCTGATTCTGGACCTTAACATGTGGAAAAACCAGATCTTCTATAAGCCCTACGAATACGGTCAGTACGTCGGCCCTGGCGAGAAGATCTACACAGTGGAGGAGCCAGAAACACTCAAATACTTCAACCACAGCACGCTCACCTACAACTGGCGTTCCACCAGCATCGATCCTGGCACCAACATGACCTACGTGGAGCGGGACATGTTCCTCCACAGCCGCTACATTGGGGCCAGCCTGGACATCAAATGCCTAGCCTTTATTCCAAGCTTGGCAGCATTTGTCCTTTTTGGCTTCTTTATTTGGTTGTTTGGGCGTTTTCAGGACAGTGAAACATTCAATGAAAATCAGGACAAGACATATGAGAGGATTAAAAGGAAGTCTCCTTCAGAGTACAGCAAGGACATGGGCGTGACACCAGAGGAGATGCATATGGCGATGAGCGAGAGCCTGAAACGATCAGGAACACCAATGCTTCTGTCAGTGGATGGGCCTCACTTTGGGGCGACGCCCTCTACAAACTCAACCATCTCAATGGAAACCCAGATGACTCATCCAAGCATTGTGATTGACAGCACGTCTCTGGATGAGCCGGCAGTCTCTTTTGATGTCAACAGACTCTCTCCATAAATGAAGGAGCTGTTGGAAACTATGGCTAGTTGGGAGTAGAAAGAAAATGCAGAGTCATCAAGACTTTGGATAGTCTCTTGATTTGGTATAGAAGCAAAAAATACCAAATAAATTAAAACAACGCCAGTCCTCATGGTGGCTACAGGAACATAATTATATTTTTGTAAAATATAAATAAAAACAATCTATATTGGCGCCACCTCTAATGCAACAGATCTTTTTAATTAGTCAGCAACATTTTAATCCACATGGTGCTTGCTTGAATCTTGCATTTTCATAACTTCCTGTTGTCATAGTTAACTGAGTGCCTATGCCCGAGGAGTGTTTCTACAGCACTCACTTACAGTGTTACAGTTGTGCCTTGAAATTTCATATATTTACATACCCCCATATTCTAACAGCCAGATGTTGGAAGATGTTCAAATTATGCTCTGCTAGATGATAACCTGCTTAATCTTTTCATATCAAATGTGCAATTGTTACCTCATTTAGCCCTCAGTCTATTGTCGTAATTTATTCCCTTTATGTTCCCTCCACGTATTTGAAATGTATATGTGTTCTTGGGATGACATGATTATCAACATCAGCGTTCGCTGATGACCTTTTCACACACCCCCACTTGATATTAGTTTCAGAGAAAATAAATGCAATCAGCAGAGATGAAATAGCAACCCAACAAGCTGCTTGGTGATTGCTAATGTGGCTCCTTCTCCTTGGCTGAATACCAACAGAGTTGGGAAGCTGGGTTTTGCCCTTGGCATAAACATGCTCTTGAAGTGCAGAGGTGGCTCTTTCTGTAAAAGCTCAGGGCTTCTTTTTGTCTAAATAATCGTTTGAAGGTTTCAAAGGCGGGTTTTAGGTATGAACGCCATTTAGTTGGCGCGGTTTTCTGCTGCTGCAAAATTCCAAACACATTTAAAAGCAGCAGTTTGTTTTACATTTGCTTTAAAAGTGTCTTTTATAATGTATTTTCTTATTTTAGTAGATTTCTTTAAGATGTATGTCTGGGGCTTTTGTTCTACAGTATGTGCTCTTTGAGTTTCTTTTTTTCTCCTCTACAGTGCAAAAGCAAACTAAATGTTTACTGAGATACTAACTTTTTCTTTAAAACTTCCTTTTACTGTGACCAAAGAACCCACATACTGCTGTTTCAACTTATGGGAAACACAGTGGAGTGGCAGTCTATGGTTCCTCCCTGGGACTGATGCAATGATGCAGAACTGTATCATTAGAAAGGATTTTGTGGAAACCTTGACATCCAAATCCAGACAGAGCGAACATTGCTTCCTCTTAAAATAACCAGCTTAGCTTTTTTCTGGAATAACAGAATTTGGACTCAGGTGTGTGCCACCAGAGCAGAAATCTGTAGCTTGATTTTCAGCATTTTAACATCAGTCTTTAATTGCTTAATCAATTTTATATTTACTTATTTTTTGTATTATTATTATTGAATCATTCAGTAATCATTTGATTATTTATTCTTTGTTCAATATTGAAGGTGCAATATGTAAGAATAAAATAAGATTCTACCGTGAAATTATCCTAAAACAGGTTAATGTTGGAAGGAAACAGATTTAATTCTCATTCGACTGTGGGGGTTGTCAGCAGTGCCTGCTTATGTACATAGCAGGTACTGATTCGTTCCTCAGTAGGTACTTGGGAGGAGGCTTCACTTTACTTTAGGGTACACAAAAGCAGTAGGTAATACTTAAGTACCTACTAGGTACTGATTCATTCCTCAGTAGGTACTTGGGAGGAGGCTTCACTTTCCATTGTCTCGAGACGGACGGATGCCGACGATGGACGACAAAGTGACAGACGAGTGGACTCAAGATGAAACAGTGATTGACATTGCAAATTATCTGCATCCTTCATGAGGTTTACAAAAGAGCGTCTACAGGCACTACATTAATCTGGGATTCATTTCTTATTGCTTTCATAAATAACTAGTCCCTGAATAAGACGGCTGGGTGGTTACCAGTAAGTACTGGCTAACTGCCCACTAATCCCTGAATAAGACTGATGAGCATTTTCACCAGTAACTACTGGTTAACTACCTATTCTTCCATGCTTCATGACTCATTACCCCCTAAGTCGTTCCCTAGTAACGAAGCACAAATAGATAACTACCTATTACGGTCTGAATAAGACTGCTGGGGTTTTTACCAGTAAGTACTGATTAACTATCTATTAGTCCATGAATAAAACTACTGGGTGTTTACCAGTAAGTACTGGTTAACTACCTATTAGTCCCTGAAAAAAGACTGATGAGTGTTTTCACCAGTAACTACTGGTTAACTACCTATTCTTCCCTGCTTAATTACTCATTACCACCTAAGTCGTTCCCTAGTAACGAAGCATAATTTTGCGTACCTTATTGTAAAGTGTTACCACTTCCTGTATGCTGGAGGCATAACATCTAAGACTGCAAACTCCAGATTAGGCAAAGTATTTTTATCTACTTATCAACTTGCTGTGTATGACTCGTCTTTGTTTGTCATCTAGAACGGGGTCGGCAACCTGTTCCCATCAAAGAACCATTATTACCCGTTTCCCACAGTAAAGAAAACACTGGGAGCCACAGCAGCTGCGGCGTTGTGGGCGGGGCCTACCCTCAGACAGCAGAGAGCTGCTTTAACCAATCACAACAGGTGACAGCAGCCAATAACGGTCGCTCGTATACGTCAAAGCTGTCTTTCATAAGAAGATAATCAATAAAACGATTTATATAAAGTGGATCCAGAAGTTGTAGCCCGTCTCTGCCGACGATATTTTGATATTTTTCACCCTGTTGGTGGTTTTACTGAGCAGGTGCCACTTTTGTCATACGTTTCTTTTTAAAACATGTTTAGACTGTTCAGAATACAAATCCAGGCTCTGTCACGTTTGATTGTTGTAATTAAACTTTGTAGGTGGGGAAGGTCAGAAAAGGATCCGATCAATTTGTTTTTCCCTCATTTACAGTGACGGAGATAACGGTGCAGTGCGCCTGGCTCTGGTGTTAATCAAGTTAAATTGGCAACAATTTTCACAAGAAAACAAAACAGTTAAAAGCAGGGCTTGTGTTGACCGGATAGTTCCCGTATTTGGCTGTTTATTTTGACGGAGAAAGAATAGAAAGAATTACCCTGACGCATGCGACATTTTATTTGTTTCGCACATCGCAGATGTAGCTAAATCACTCAAGAAAATATTCCCATCTGAACATCTGAGCTGGACACTGCTCAGTCGCAGAACCAGAGCGCATGCAGGAAGGTTCCTCCGACTGAAGCAAGACTTGTCACTTAGAAAATGTTGCCTGATTATGAAACTTTGGCTGAATAGTGCTTGTTCCTGTCTCCAATGTGGCGACACATCCAAGAGCCTGTCTGAGGAGTATCCCAGAATCTCACATCCTCTTGAGCTCAGAATGCGCCTATGATTACGCACAAGCGTGACGCGTCAACCCGGTCACACAGTAGACCGGGTTGGACCTGTTCAGGTTTACGCGGACAATCTTTACATTTAGAATTAGCTTAGAGATGTAAAATTTATGCAGTAAAATATAAAGCATTTTATTTAAATGTCCATTCATTATTTTACAAGCACAGAGAGCCGCATTAGATGGATGGAAGAGCCGCATCCGGCTCCAGAGCCGCGGGTTGCCGACCCCTGAGCTAGAATCATCTGGTGCTGATCCGTAAATGGCAACAGCCATGAAACTCTTGGAATAGGAGTGAGAGTGATTGCAGTAACTAAATTTGACCACAGGATGTCACTTTTACTTCATTCATACATATTGCACCTTTAAAGGCCACATTACCATATTCTAATTGTGTTTTTGAAATTGACCCACCTCATCAATAGATTTTTAATATTAAAATAGCAAGTAAAATTTACTGGTGGCACACTCCATAAATCTTTGTGTAAGTGTTTTGGGTAAAAATGTGTGTGTGTGTTTAGTAAGATGTTTGCTATAACAGCCATTTAGCATAATTGCTTTGCAGCTCATTCTGTAATTATATTTTAACATGTTAAAACATATTTGAAACATTCAATTTTAGTGTTTTACCAAAGGTCAAAACCTATTTAAACATGACAGGATGCAAAGATGCTGGTTCCAATGCTATCGTGTTCACTAGCTTTAATTTTTTTGTAATCGTCTTGCAAAATGTCCCTGTAAAAAAAGTTAGGCCACCCCAGAAGAAAGATAACAAGGAGAAAGTGTCTAAAATAACATGCTGGTGAAAACCGTATTATAATTTTTCCAGAAAATGTCCACATTTTGAGAAAAATACAGATTTTTGAATAGCTAAAATATGAAGTTTGGAAGACCGAGGGAAGTCTAAATATAATTCCATCCATCCATCCAGTTTCTGAACCCGCTTGTCCACGTAGGGTCACGGGGGGGCTGGTGCCTATCTCCAGCGGTCAATGGGCAATCAGGCGGGGTACACCCTGGACAGAGAGCCAGTCCATCGCAGGGCAACACAGAGACACACAGGACAAACAATCACACACTCACACCTAAGGGCAATTTAAACAGACCAATCAACCTAACAGTCATGTTTTTGGATGTGGGAGGAAACCGGAGCACCCGGAGCACCCGGAGAGAACCCACGCATGCACAGGGAGAACATGCAAACTCCATGTTGAAAGACCCCAGGCTTGGAAGCGAACCCAGGACCTTCTCGCTGCAAGGCAACAGCTCTAACCACTGTGCCACTGCGCAGCCCCACACATAATTTTCTCTTTGAATTTAAAATATCAAATGAAAGCTTAAAATACTGTTTTCTAAATATGTAGGAAATATGAAGAAAAATTTTAAAATATCTATTTCAGGATAATGTCAAAATAATGAGAAGAAGATCTAGAGGAAAAGGTTCAAAGAATGTTATAAACACTGTTTTCAAAATAAACAAAGAAGTTAAAATCTAAAAATTGTCTCATGAACTCAAAATTGGGGAAAAGAAACATTTTCTTTAGGAAGTCAGAATTTTGATTTGATACAATGTAAAAAAAAACAAATCTATATTAAAATTAAGGCTACTTGAAAGTAATACAGCAAAACCAAATGAGCACACGTTCGAAGAGCTGTGTCATCAATGCTTTTCTGTGACTTAGCTTCAATGTTTTATGATTAGTTATAATAAAAAAAACAACAACAACAATAATAATAATAGTAGTAGTAGTAGTAGTAGTAGTAGTAGTAGTAGGTATGCATCATTATTTGTAATTTACTTGGCATAAAAACACATCAAGAAAACTCATTTAATGTATCCAGGCTCAGAGCACATAGGACTTGGTTTACTTTCTTGGACTTGAACGTTTTTAATGGAATTTGTGTTATTCTTGACATTTCCTCATTCTTATTTTTTCTTCTGAGAAGCTCTAATGTTCTGCTTTCATCTGTTTCTTAGACTCCTGCTGGATTTTACCGCATGGAAAATTATCCTGTGTTTGTGTTTTGTATATTTGTTGGATTGTGTTACAAACAAATAAACACATTTGCTACATATTGTATTTTTATGAATTATTCTAAAGTTTTATAAAATATTAACCAAATGTTCCAAAATTCCCAGTGAGGAAAATTAAACGTCTTTACATTTTGTTGGATTTGTTCAGCTAAACAGAAGCGTTCCAGCAGCTGTTGACCCGTATTACGCCACCTCTGTACCAGGAAACCTCAAGACGAAGCCCTCCTTGGATTTTAACGAGTCCTGCTCCAGTCCTGTTTGATTCATGCTGGTGGGAAATCATTTCAGGTTCTTGCATGTTTTGGTTCCCTGGTGAGATTTGCTTATGAGCATGCGTATATATGAGTTCTAGATTGGAACAGAAATGAGGGAAACTGAACTCTCTGTAGGCAAACCGGATTTTCAGAGTAAAAATGTCAGCATCGAGAGCCAATTAATAAAACGGGAAAGAGGAAACATGCTGAATTACTGAATGATTTTATAATTTTGTTTTTAATTATAGTCAGACTTAATTCATTGCAAGCAAGCGTATTTTGTGTTCAAGTAAGACCTTACCAGTGGACGGCCATTAGGGTCAAAAACCCCTGAGAGCTCAATTTTCGAACGAGTCATTCAACCTAAGTGACAAACACATCAGACATCTCTGGCAACGACTGAAGAGGTCAATGTGTAAAACAACAACGTTTATGAATAGCGAGAATTTTGTAACCATTTTTTACAAATCAGTAAATGACTTTTGTCCTCACAGGCTCCCGTAGAAAGAAACATGGCGGCTAACATGACGTTGCCCAGACGATCCACTTCCATTTATTTTAGACCTGATTTTTATGGTTAAATGTTACAAAGCCGACAGAACAACTGGCCATCAATTCATGATAAAAACTACGCATTGCCTCTTTATCGTTTGTGAAAATGTGACCTAGAAACCAACATGAAATCTGTAAAACAGTTCATGATCAACCTCTGTCTCCATTTAGGTTTAATTGTGTCTTCAACACAGAGTCCCTGTCCCACCATTTGTTTTTAATTATCTCTAATCAGAGCTGCAGCTAGATCATCTTACCAATAAAATAAAATAAACAACTGCTGTGAGAAAGCAAGAGAAAGAATAAACAAGAGATCTTAACTGTTTTGTTCATTGTTTGATTTTTCGTGTCTAAGAAATACACATTTCGATGCCGTGACGCTGTTTGACTGAGGCCTCTTTGAAATCTGCCATAGGCTGAGATATGAGATATAGATTTTTTAGAGGGCTTGGTGGTAATTTACAGAAAACACATGAACGCTTGTGGAGCTCAAATATTAATTTGTATGCAACATTTAATATATGCAGAACACCTCGTGTTCAATTTAGTTTAACCCTCCTTCAGTTTTAACTTTTACATCACATAGTCAGCTTCACTCATCTACTTTGTTTAGATGTGTTTTTCTATTGATTTGATGCGTTTCAAGAAAAAGGACCTGCAAACCAAAAGGAAAAGCACAGTTCTATTGTTTCTGCCAAATATAAGGTAGAAAAATTCCCCAGAGGGGATGAGCTACAGCTACAGATCAGCTGGCATCTCCTCTGCTGTCTGTGAGCTATCCTCCAATTAGATCAGTGCATCATGTCCTGGCATGGCCCATCACTCTGTGCTGACAGCTCCGTGACTCTCGGAGACCCTGTGAAATTTATCTGTGCAGTCAGCCTCAGTCGGCTCCAACAGGTTTCCCCCCTATGAGCCTCTCGCTGGGCCTGAGATGGTTTCTGTCCCTATTTGGCCACAAGGGAAACGGAATTCATCAGCCACTTCCTTCTGCGGGTGTCTGATACGTTCCAGAGGAGCACGTTGCTCACATGAATCTCCTAGCTTCTCACCCGGAGGACCGAATCCCCAGTCTCCGGTTTGAGATAATCGTGTCTGCCTTTACTGCTCCTGTGTGGACGAAGGGGATCGAGTGGTGTTCTAATTGCTCACATGTCAGATCAAATTTCACTATAGTCGGTCTCTATCTGACGACACTGTTTTATCTTTTAAATCAAGTGTTCCATTTTTGCTATCTTCAGCATCTCAGAGGAATGTAGCAGAGCACAATATTTTTATTTCTAGCCCCTCACAAATTGATGCTTTAGTTCATAATGTTACTTTCTCTTTACGTGTGGCATTAGATGATGTTGCCCCTTTAAAAAAGAAGGTAATTAGGGACAGGAAGTTGGCTCCCTGGTTTAACTCTCATCTACGAACTTTAAAACAAAACTCTAGAAAATTGGAGAGAACGTGGCACTCTACACACCAGGAGAAGTTCTACTTATCCTGGAAAAATAGTCTTGTGCTTTATAAAAATAAGCTTCAACAAGCTAGAACTGCTTATTTTTCATTGCTAATTGAAGAGAATAAGAATAATCCAAAATTTCTTTTCAGTACAGTTGCCAAACTTACACAGAATCGTGGCTCTGAACCATCTATTCCTTTAGCCCTCAGTAGCAAAGACTTTATGGGATTTTTCACAAGTAAAACTAATTAGAAACTAAATCTTTAGCATCCTCCCTAATGCGATTTCTTCTTCCTCAGTAAGTGAGGCAGCATCAGAGGTAACTGTAGAACCTCATCTGTGTTTGAACCGTTTTGATCCAGTTGAGCTTTCAGAGTTATCAAAAATATTAGCTTCATCTATACCTTCAACTTGCATTTTGGATCCAATTCCAACCATTTTAAAGAAGCATTTCCTTTGGTTGCTGCCCCATTCTAGATATAATCAATCTATCCCTAGTAAATGGATACGTACCACAGGATTTTAAGGTTGCTGTAATCAAACCTTTACTTAAGAAGCCTTCTCTGGATCCAGATGACCCAATGAATTATAGAACAATATCCAACCTTCCATTTTTTTTATCCAAAGTCCTCGAGAAAATAGTGGCCATCCAAGTATGTGAGCATTTAAACACTAATGCTCTGTTTGATGAATTTCAGTCTGCTTTTAGAGAGTATCATAGCACTGAAACTGCATTAGTGAGAGTTACAAATGATATTCTCATCGCCTCAGATAAGAATCTTGTGTCTGTTCTAGTCTTGTTAGATCTCAGTGCTGCCTTTGACACAGTAGATCACAATGTTCTTTTAGAAAGGCTTGAACATGTTGTAGGGATCAAAGGAACAGCGCTATGCTGGTTTAAATTCTACCTGTCTGATAGATATAATTTTGTAAACGTACATGACAAATCTTCTTCATACTCCAGGGTTACTTGTGGAGTACCGCAGGGTTCAGTGCTTGGACCAATTCTTTTTACTATATATATGCTTCCAATTGGTAAAATCATTAGACAGCTCTGGATAAACTTCCACTGTTATGCTGACGATACTCAGTTATATCTATCCATTAACCCTGATGAACCTAATCGGTTGGGTAGATTACAGGCTTGTCTTGAAGACATAAAAAATTGGATGACTCAAAAATTTTCGCTTTTAAATCAAGACAAGACCGAAGTTCTCACCTTGGACCTGAAATTCAGAAAAGGAAATTGCTTAGTCAATCACCTGACCTGAATGGCATTAAATTAGTCTCCGAGAACAAAGTAAGGAACTTGGTGTTGTCTTTGACCAGGACATGCCATTCAAATTCCACGTTAAACAGGTTTGTAGGATTTCCTTTTTCCCCCTTCGGAATATTCCTAAGATTAGATGCATCCTTTCTAGGAGTGATGCTGAAAAACTAGTTCATGCATTTATTACATCAAGACTGGATTGCTGTAATTCATTCCTCTCAGGAAGTCCACAGAATGTAGTTAAATGTCTTCAGCTTGTCCAAAATGCTGCAGCTAGAGTTCTGATAAGAATTAAAAAGAGCGATCATATCACTTCTGTCTTAGCTTCCCTACATTGGCAACCTGTTAAATTCAGAATAGATTTTAAGATCCTTCTTCTCACATATAAAGCTCTTAACAATCAAGCTCCATCATACATCAGTGACCTGATTGTTCCATATGTTCCTAACCCAACACTTTGCTCTCAGACTGCAGGTTTACTGGTGGTTCCCAGAATATCTAAAAATAGGATGGGAGGGAGATCTTTTAGTTATCAGGCTCATCTCCAGTGGAACCAACTCCCAGCTTTAGTCCGTGAGGAAGACACCTTGTCTACTTTAAAGACTAGGCTTAAAACATTTTTATTTGATAGGGCCTATGGTTAAAATCTGATGTTAGCCTAGATCTGAACAAGTGGGGGAGTAGAGGGAGGTGGAGTGTATAGTCGCTAAAGACAGCTCTCCCTTGCTCTGCCTCCAACATGCCTCCATCTAAAAGGCTAGGTTATCCAGAGTTATCTCTGTAGTTATGCTGCTATAGGCTTAGACTGCTGGAGGACACACTGACCACTTTCCACACTCTACTACTTTCTTCTACAATCTGCTCTTTAACTATATTATTTCCTGCAATTTCAGCTGTTAACTTTATTTTTTCTCTAAGTGTTTTTCTCCCCAGAGGAAGCTAAAGTGATGTTCTGCTGAGCTGTGGTGGCCTCATGTAGGGGGCCATCGTCTTGAACACTGTTGTTAACCATTTAATCATTCTCCCTCTCCTGATAATAACACTTTACGTTCCTTGACATTGAATGTACTACTACTAGTTTACCTGTTTAATTATAGATTCACTAGGATAAATACAATAAAGTTTATCTCTCACCAAATAGAATATTTACTGAGAAATCACAATGTAACCATAGAAACAATACTTGGTGTGTGTGTGTATGTGTGTGTGTGTGCGCGCGCGTGTGTGTGTGTGTGTGTGTGTGTGTGTGTGTGTGTGTGTGTGTGTGTGTGTGTGTGTGTGTGTGTGTGCTCTGTCTTCTCGATCCCCAGTGAGTCGTGGAGGATGGCTGCTTATACTGAGCCAGGATCCTCTGGAGGTTTCTTCCTGTTAAAAGGGAGATCTCTTCTCCACTGTCGCTATATGCTTGCTTAGTATGAGGATTGCTGTAAAGTCACTGACACTAGTCAGTGACTCTATGCAATTTGCTGGGTTCCTTATATGGGAAACTTTTTTTCTGATTGGCTTAATGAACTGA